GTGGGCTCCAAGAGCGAAAGCGCGCGAGTCCAGGGCTGGCCCGCTGCTTTGGAACCGCTGGCCGCGGCGCTGGGCTTGGCCCTGCCGGGACTTGCCTTGTTCCGAGAGCTGAGCCGGTGGGGCGTTCCCGGCGACGCCGACCGCACCAAGCTACTGCACTGGGGAAGTGGCCCCGACGCCTTCGTCCTCAGCTACGCGGCCGCCCTGCCCGCAGCCGCCCTGTGGCACAAGCTCGGGAGCCTCGGTGGTGGCGGGGGCTCCGCAGTCGCTGTGCGTCGCCTGCTAGGCTGCCTGGGCCCCGAGACCCGCCGCCTGCCCCTGGTTCTGACCCTGTTGGTCCTCTCCTGTCTTGGTAAGGGGGACCAGGACGCAGGGACCTGGGGCGAAATGGAGGGGGTACGGGCAGTGAGGTGGGGTAGTGTGGGTATGGGAAATGTGGCCGGGGCCGGCGCCCAGTTTGGCTCTTGAGACCTGTTGGTGTCGAGAAGAGCGATGGGCGCCGTGCGATCAGGAGGCCTGGACCCCCGACTGCTCCAGGCCCTGCTTCTCAGGGCCACTGTGGGCAGGCCCTTTCCGGGAGGCTGAGCATCCTCGTCTCCCCAGGAGGCTTTTTGCCCCTGCTGTCTGGGCTCTAATTAGTCTCCTGAAAGGTGTGGTGGGCACAGGGCTGTGGGTTCCAGGAGGCCTGCTCAGGTGCGAGGTTGTCTTCTCTGTCTTCCTGCCACCGCCCTCCAGGATAATGGTGTGGCTGGTGGGAGGGGCAGCTGGGGACAGCCTGATGGGAGGGACCTGCTTCCGCTAGTGATGGCTGACCCGTCTGTCCTCTCTCCCCCCAGGGGAGATGGCCATTCCCTTCTTCACCGGCCGCCTCACTGACCATCTTCTGCAGGACCGGGCCCAGGATGCCTTCACTAGGAACATAACCCTCATGTCGGTCCTCACCATAGCCAGGTCTGCGGCTGGGATGGGGACGCTGGAAAAGAGGGAGCTGAGGTTGGGGTTGTCCTAAATGTTCTTCTGGGGATACCCGAGCCATCTCTCTGGGCCCCCAACACACCGGACCCTCCTCTCTGTCTCCCCAGCGCGGTGTTGGAGTTCATCGGGGACGGACTCTACAACAGCACCATGGGCCGTGCACACAGCCACCTGCAGGGAGCGGTGTTTCGGGCCGTCCTGAACCAGGAGACAGAGTTTTTCCAACAGAACCAAACAGGTTCTTCATGACACCTTTTTATTATACCCATGCCCTCTTTATAGTGCCCTGTGTCCCTTGTACTGACAACCTTGATCTCTCCCCACCACACCCGGGATTCCCTAGTCTTGAGATACATCCGGAGGATATACATAGTGTCCTCTTTACGTTAAGAAAAACCTAGTATTTTACCCCAAATTTTCTCATAAACCCACCCCACGTGTCCTTAGATGATCTACAGAACTTCGGACTTGGTCATTTTGAGATCATGGAGTCCAGCTGTCTCATTTTATAGAGAATTTTTTTTTACAGAGAAGGAAACTGAGGCCTAGGCCGTAAGTGCTGAGCTTGCATGGTCACGTGACTAGGGACAAGCTTGGGTTGGAACCCCAGCCTCTGGCTCCCAGGCAGTGCTGACGAGAGGCACTGGGCCACCCAGCTGCCCCACCTCTGTTAAACAGCCAGCTTTTACTCCTGCCATGTGCCTGGCTTGGGATAGACATATTTTAGTTTAGTTTTGTTTTTAGGTTTTTGCCATTGGGTACATGCACTCAATGGAGAGAGACAGAGAGAGGCAGTGAGAGGGAAGGTGAGAAATCACCCTCCAAGGGGGATGGCCACACCACAATCCCTTCTCCCAGGACATTGGGCACGCATGCACATGTACCTAGCATGATTTTCTTTTTCTTTTTCTTTTTTTTCAGAGAGATTTTTGCTATAGGGCACATGCGCTCTCTGGCGAGACAGAGAGACAAGGGAAACAGAAAGCGAAAAATCACCCCCTAGAAGGGATGGCCATGCTGCAATCCCTTCTTCTTCGTTCTCCTCTTGGGATTTTGGGCACGCATGCACTTGTGCCTGTCATGAGTTTTAAGCCATCAGGTCCAGACCTTGAACCACTGTCAACTACATGGGAGTCCAATGACATAAACATTGTGCCATCTACTGGTCCCTCTGGCGTGATTTTCAAGCCACCAGGTCCAGGACTTGAACCACAGCGGACCATGTGGGAGTCCATTGCCTTAACCACCACGCTACCTGCTGGCTCCCATTAGACACAGTCTTTAAGGAGCGGAAAGTTTTAAGGTGATTGTAAATGTACATGCCTGCCCATTTTTCATAGTTAAAGTGAAGGTCTTTGGCCAGCTTTTCCTCGTCACACTCATTCTAACCTGCCCTGAGGTCCCTAACCCTTGCTTGCCCCAGCCTCCTTAGAACACCACGCTGACACTCCTCCCCCGGCATCTGGCTCTTGTTAGTTCCTCTCACTGCACTCACCGACTCCACTTTTCTCTCCAACCCTGGCAGGAGACATCACATCTCGGGTGACAGAGGACACGGCCAATGTGAGCGAGTCACTGAGTGAGAAGCTGAGCCTACTGCTGTGGTACCTGGCGCGAGGGCTGTGTCTCCTGGGGCTTATGCTCTGGGGGTCACTGTCCCTCACCATAGTCACCTTGGTCACCCTGCCTCTGCTTTCTATTCTGCCCAAGAAGCTGGGAAAATGGTATCAGGTAAGTCCCGGACATAATCTTCGTATTCTCTGTATCTTCTCTTTAACTTCCCCCTACTCCCTGTCCACCCATTCTGAATCTTCTGCCCTGAATCTGTTTAACCCAGGGGTATAACTCTATCCCTTTTTCTTTTCTCCTTTCCCTCTTACTCTTCTCACCTTTAATTTCCAACTAGGAAGACAGGTATTAGTGTCCCTGAGGGTCTGCGGACCCTATGTGACATCTCCGGTGCATGTCTCCACAGTCACTGGCAGTACAGGTGCGGGAATCTCTGGCAGAGTCCAGCCAGGTGGCCATCGAGGCTCTGTCAGCTATGCCTACGGTCCGGAGCTTCGCCAACGAAGAGGGCGAGGCCCAGAAGTTTAGGCAAAAGCTGCAGGAAATGAAGACACTCAACCAGAAGGAGGCTGTGGCCTATGCAGTCAACCAATGGACCACCAATGTGAGCACCTGGGACGAATGCCCGTCCCTTTGTCCCCAAATGGCCCTTCTCCATTCCCTTTGCTGTGACCCTGCTCTCACTCCTCACTGGGAAATGGTTGGTTCAGTGTTTTCATCCTAGCAATCTGAGGGTCAGGTAATTTACTCAGTGTTCCTAAGCCCCTCCTTCCTTTAGGGATGCTGGGTGACTTCCTGTCACTATGTACACCTGCCCTCCCCCCACCCCACAACCATTAGTGATGCCATGTCTTCTAGCCCTCGGGCCTTCCTTTGCCCCTTAGGAAAAGCCCAGGGCACCACAGAATCCTGCCCCTGCCTACTTCGTGCTGATGCTGTGGATGAGTGGGGCGAGTCCCGGGAATAGTGGAAGCCAGGGATAAGGGGCACGCGGGCCGAAAGAGAACTAGATCAGCGGTCGGAAGTTCCCGGCTTGGTGCTGCCCTTCACTAGCTCGTAACCAGGGGCAAGAACTTCTTGGAGATGGTTCATTTTTTTAAAAATGGGTGTGATTGGGCCAGCCAGTGGCATGGTGGTTAAGGCACTGGATTCCCACATGGCTGACAGCACTGTGAGTCCTGGACCCGGTGGCTTGAAAAACATGCCAGGCACGTGTGCCTGCCTGTTCAAAATCCCGAGGGGAGATGGAGGAGAAAAGATTGCAGCCTGGCCCTCCCCACTGGTGGGGACGCTTTCTCACTTTCTTTTTCTCCCTCTGTCTCTCTCTAGTGAGCACATGAGCCCTATAGCAAATTATAAAAAATAAATAAATAAATAAAGTAGGAGTGATAACCTTCCTTGATAGGGCTCTTGAGAAGAGTATTAGCTGACACTGCATTCATGAAAGCCTTTCGTGAAGAGCGAAATGCTCCCCACACCAGGTGATGGTGATGAAAGGGTGAGGATTTCTGTGTTGTGTATGACGGGGTCTCTGTGGCTCATTCACCTTTTCTATTACCCCGCTGTTGTCATCTGGGGGAAAGGGACTTCATATCTCTCTTGTGCCAATGACTCTGGTTCTCTGTATCCGCGCCTTTCTTACTGTTTCCCCCCTGTGGTCTCTCCACAGATCTCAGGGATGCTGCTGAAGGTGGGCATCCTCTACCTCGGTGGGAAGCTGGTGACGAGTGGGGCCGTAAGCAGCGGGAGCCTCGTCACATTTGTTCTCTACCAGATCCAGTTCACCACGGCCGTGCAGGTGAGGGCCTTGCGGATTCGCCCCTCGCTTTACCCCCCAGCCCTCGGCGTCCCTTTCCTTGCGTTCTGTGCGCCTCTTACATCACATAACGCTGGCAAGCAGAGCAGGCCTCCTCAGCCTCCTCCCACTGTCCACATCCCCCGGCCCAGGTGCTGCTCTCCACCTATCCCAGTGTACAGAAGGCTGTGGGCTCCTCAGAGAAAATATTTGAATACCTGGACCGGACCCCTCGCTGCCCGCCCAGTGGACAGTTGACCTCCTTAAACTTAAAGGGCCATGTCCAGTTCCAAGATGTCTCCTTTGCCTACCCGAACCGTCCGGACGTCTCAGTGCTGCAGGTACAGCCCGCCACTTCCTGTATTCCACTGACCCACCCTCGGCCCCGCTCGCCTAAATGTCCTTCCCGCTTTCAGCCTGCTTATCGCCAGGCACGGATCCGTTCTAACCTTGCGAGGCAATGATAAGCATCATGTGTTCCATAACTCTTCCCGAACTCAAGAAGCAGTCTGGGCTTCCAAGGAGAATGGGAGAAGAGGTTTCAAAGAGAAGGCTCTCATGGGAAGCAGCAGTTAGTGTAATGGCTGTGTCACTGGACTCTCATGTAGTTGACTGTGGTTCGAGTCCCAGATCTGGTAGCTTAAAACTCATTCCGGGTTTGTGTGCGTGTACGCCCAAGATCCCGAGAGGAGAATGGAGGAAAAGGGATTGCGGCGTGGCCATCCCCCCGGGGGGTGATTTCTCACTTTCTATCTCTCTGTCTCTGTCTGTCTGGAGAGCGCATGCGCCCTATAGCAAAAACCTCTCAAA